CGGGGTGGGGTCCCTCCCGCGTCGCCGCAGGTCAGAGATAAGTACCCGCCGCCCGCCTCTCGGGAAGGGGAGGTAGTCCTTGAGCTTGCTGGGAGGGTGGGGACTCTCCCAGGCCGGCGGGGACCTGCGTGGGTGGAGGCTGGCAAGAGCTCGGTCCCCACGGCACGGCGGAAAGCAGCGGAGCACTGGGGCTGCACGTGGGGAGGAGCGGTGTGCGGGTGGGCCCTGGCAGGCCTGGGCTGTGGGAGCGTGCCCAGTCCACCTCCATTGCCTCTGGCGCTTAGGAAGGAGAAGGCGAGTGGGAACTGGAGTTCCACCATCTGGCGCTGAACCTGGGGAGGCTAAGTGGCGCCGAAGGAGGGCGCCCTAACCAGGAAGCTGCTTAGTACAAAGAGCTGCAGCTTCTCCTGGGCTCCTGGCTCTTCACCAGGTCCTATCAGTCTGGCATTATTTGTGGGGGCAACTGAAAAAATTGAGGGTGATAAATGCATAATACTTTCCCTCTTTCTTTTCAGTAACCTCCAATCTGTCAGTCAAAACGTGAAGAAAAAACCTGATTGCTTTGTCCTGGGAAATAGTAATCCTGCCTGATACACCTGCTTGCAGGAGAGAGAGGTAAATAAACTAAGTACTTTTCCCTATGTTATCCTAACCACGTTAAAAACAATAACAAAAAGAGGATACGATTTCATTAGTAAGTACCTTTTGAAATTGAAGTGTCTGTTTCTATCCTTTTTTAAATTAGTGGTCTTTGTTCTTCTCATATTTTTTCAAAACTCAGAAAAACAGAATCCACACATGGCAATTCTTTGTGTGGTAGTTATTTTAAATGTATTCTAACCAAAGAATTCTATTGCAAAGGTAGAGAAGAGGCCTCATCAGCACTTCTCTTTTTGTGTTTTTTGTTTTGTTTTGTTTTTATTTATTTATTTATTTTTGGTGCCTGAACTGTCATCCTGCTGGTTTGTAGACTAAAACCTGAGTATTTTATCAATCTAGATACTTTTTTTTTTTTTTTTTTTTGAGAGGTTTTTGCAATAGGGCACCTGCGCTCACCAGAAAGAGACAGAAAGGGAGAAAAATCATCCCCTGGGGGGATGACCACACCGCAATCCCTTCTCCTCCATTCTCCTCTCAGGATCTTGGGCATGTATGCACACATGTCTGGGGTGAGTTTAAGCCAGGTCTTGGACTTGAATTGCGGTGGACTACATGGGAGTCCAGCGACATAGCCATTATGCCAACTGCTGGTCCTAAATCTAGATACTTTAAATAATAGACATTTTATTATTTTTTTTCTTTTTTTGGGGAGAGGTTTTTGCTATAGGGCACGTGCGCTCACCAGAAAGACAGAGAGAGACAGAGAGACAGAAAGCAAGAAATCACATCCCAGGGGGTATGGCCACACCGCAGTCCCTTCTTCATTCTCCTCTCGGGATCTTGGGCACGCACGCACGCACACACATGTACCCGGCATGAGTTTAAGCCACTGAGTCCAGGACTCGAACCGTGGTTGACTACATGGGAGTCCGGTGACATAGCCATTACGCTAACTGCTGGTCCCTAGACATTTTATTATTTTTAAAAAATACTTTTTTTAGTTTGCTTTAGGGTGGATGTCCTCACTGGAGACAGACACAGAAGGAGAGGGCAAGTGAGAAATCACTCCCTGGGTGGGATGGCCACTCCACAATTCCTTCTCCTGCAGTCTCTTCTTGAGATTTTGGGCACAGCCGCACACACAGCTAATGAGATTTCTGCTGGGTGCAGGACTCTTGCCTGTGCCATCAGCCATGTGGGATCCAGCTGCCTTAACCTCCACAGCACCTGCTTGCACATAATAAGCATTTTAAAAGCAGAACTCCTGGGACCAGCAGTTAGTGTAATGGCTATGTTGCTGGACTTTCACATAGTCAACCGCGGTTCGAGTCCCGGACCCGGTGGCTTAAACTCACGCTGGGTGCGTGTGCCTGGGTGCCCAAGATCCCGAGAGGAGAATGGAGGAGAAGGGATTGTGGCGTGGCCATCCCCCCTGGGGGGTGATTTCTTGCTTTCTATCTCTCTATCTCTCTCTGTCTGTCTGGCGAGCGCACGCACCCTATAGTGAAAACCTCTTCAAAAATAAATAAATAAATAAATAAATAAATAAAAAAAAGCAGAACTCCTGTTTACATAAGATACTCCCTCTAGTAGAACTTGGTGGAGCTGTTGATGAACTGGTTATACTTCTTTTCTTGCACAATGAAAAGATAGTTTTTTTCTCAGGTTCTCCTATCCTTTAAAAAATGCCTTTAAAAAAACAAAAAGCTGCCTTGACTAAACCTCCCTGATAACTCCCTCCACATACTAGGCAGTTCTCATTTTGTACATGCATGATAGGTTACCTGGTCCTTCTGCCATAGTTGTTATTTAGCTAGGACTTCCATGAAAGTCGTTTGTTCTTGCTATCCTATGTAATACATGCAGTGGTAATGCCCCCTGAAGGCGTTTCCATCTACCACAGAGCACGCGTACAACAGTGGTCCTATAAGAACATAATAAAGCTATATCATGTCACTTAGGTGCACAGTAGCCTATGTTTTTAGGTTTGTGGAAGTAGTCTGTGTTGTTTACATAACCTAAGGGTTCACAAATATTTTAAGCAATACATAACTATGTTTGTTTTACAATCACTTTAAATAACAGTATAAGAAAGTCCAACTCTTCTTTAGGACTGATGCAATAATGGAATGCCCTAAATGTGTATTAACAATATTCGAACATGTGTATTTAAATCATGTTACATTTGTATAGTTAAGCTGTTCATGAAATTCTCACATATTATCTTTTGACCTGTATTTTGAAGAAGGTATTAAAAAAATTCTCATTTAGGATTAGACAGTGGCATAGTGCTCTATGATGTTGATCCATATAGAAAGGGTGTGGGTTTGTGTTCAGTAACCTTCCTGAACATGCTGGGTACATGTGTGCCCATAATCTGTGGCTGGCTGAAGCTGAGGGATAGGTTGTAGCATGGGGACCCTGTTGGGGACATCTCTCTCTCTCTCATGGAGAGAAATTTTCCAAAACTACTCCTTTTATGAAGGGTAAAACTTGAACCTAAGTATTGGATGAAGGTTTCCCCTCCATCCACTAGAGTTTTTTTTTTTTTTTTTTTAAGGTTTTTGCCTTAGGGCTTGTGCACTGGCTAGGAACAAGTGAGGAGAGAGTGAGAAACCACCACCCCCCCCCCCACCCAGGAGGGTGGGCCAAAAAAAACCCCCCCCCCCATCCAGGAGGGATGGCCACGCTGCAATCCCTTTTCCATTCTTTCATTCTCCTCCCGGGATCTTGGGCACATATACACACTTGCCCGGCATGAGTTTAAAGCCACTGGTTCTGGGACTCGACTGCAGTCAGCCACATGGGAGTCTAATGACGTTACCACCACACCATCTGCTGGCCTCTCTTCCATCACTAGAGAGACTCTTACAATCTTATTTGTAAAAAATCAAATAATTTTAGAAGGGATTTTAGAGAACCCGTGATTAAATCTCATTTGACAAATGAGGATACTGAATTATTGATTCATTTTCTGGGTTGTACTAAGGCCCAAGAATTGGAAAACTCAGGTTCTGTCCCTAGTTGTATACAATTGAGAAGTCTTCATTTGGGGAGGGAGGTCTGAGATTTTTCACTTAAAGTTTGGTCTTTACCTAGATAATCTCTAAAATGTCTTTAAGCTGTATTTTTGAAAAAAGTTTTGCTATAGAGCATATGTATTTACTGGAGAGAGACAGAGAAAGAGAAGTAAAGTGAAAAATCACCCCCAAAGAAGATGCCACACTGCAGTTTCCCTCTCCATTCTTTCACTGTTTTGGGCACGTGTACACACCTGCCTGTGTGTTTTCCAAGCCACCAGGTCTGGGACTTAAACTGCAGTTGACAACATGGGATCCATTCATCTTACCACCATGGCACCAGCTGGCCCTAAGCCAAGTATTTCTATTTTATTCTTATCCTGTAAGTTCTCTTACCATCTGTTCCCACTATATATATATGTAATACACAGATGCATACCATGTTAACTGCCTTAAACTGTTTTATTTTTAAATTCAGGTAGGTATGATGGTAGTAATTGTGTCTTGTTCTTGTTTTTCTACTAAGCTCTATAAAGTATGATTCTGTTGAAAAGTTAAAGACTTCAAGGAGATGTGTGGCACTGTAAGTTATCTTTGGTTAAAGTGGTGTGTGTGTGTGTGTGTGTCTGTGTATTTATATATATGTTTATATATGCATACATATATAGTATGTGTGTATATATGTACACACACACATATAGGGAGGGAAAGTTAGAAATATTTTTAAGAGTTTTAAAAACATGTTCCTACTCTTTGACCCAGCAATACACTTAAAGGAATTGTCTAAGGAAATAATCAGATATACTAAGACTTTTTTACAAAGTGAATTCATTTAAATATTATAATAAAGCATATTCATAAGATACATTGTCATATTTTTGAAGAACATATGCTATGGAAAATGGATGTAACAAAGTAAATGAAAAAAATCCAAAATAGATCCAAAATCATATTATGCTGCCAGTATTATAAAAATATGTGTGTGTGGGCCAGCCCATGCCCTAGTGGTTAAGTGAGCTGGATCCCACATGGCTGACTGCATGGTTCAAATCCCAGACCCAGAGAACTGAAAAACATGCCAGGTATGTGTGCATACATGCCCAAAATCTGGAAAAGAGACAGTGATGAAGGAGAAGGGATGGTGGTGTGACCATTTCCCATGTAGATTGCTTTCCCTTCTCTTTGTGTCTCCGTGTCTCTCTCTAGCAAGTGCACGTGCCCTTGGCAAAATTAAAAAAAAATAAAAATAAAAGATATGTGTTGAGGCTTATGGATATACAGACATACAAGATTAGAAGAAATATACCAAAATAATAGTACTGGTTATTCCTCATTTTTGTGATTATGGGTGACTATTTTCTTATATGTTTTGAATTTTCTATAATCACAATACTTTTATGAGTTAAGAAAAAAACAAATGTTAACTGCAAGGATAACCTCTCCAATTTCAGTGTGATATCAATTTTCTGTCTTTTTGGCATGGGGATAAGAACATGTAACATGAAATCTACCCTGGTAACAAATTTTTAAGTGTATAATATAGAGCTTCCTCAATTTATGATGGGTTACTTCCTGATAAATCCATCATAAGTTGAAAATACTGTAAGTTGAACATACATTTAGTACATCTAGCATAAGTCAAACATACATTAATACATTTAACATACTAGACATAATCGCTTATCCCAACCTACTTTAAATGTGCTCAGAACACTTACATAAGCCTATAGTTGGGCAAAATCATCTAACCTGAAGTGTATCTTACAATAAAAGTGTTGACTATTTCATGTAATTCATCAGATACTGTATTGAAGGTGAAAACAATAACCGTATGGGTGTTTGAAATACAATTTGTATATTGTATATATTCAATATACAGTTTGTATATTGAATGTATATTGTTTTCTCACTGGCATAAAATGAAAAAAGGTAAGCATCATAAGTTGAGCACCATCTGTATTATTAGCTGTTGAGCTCCTGTCATAACTTTTTAGA